GCAAGCAGTGATTGGTCATGTCACGGGCCAATGTGACTCACTGGTAATGTCCTTGATTGGCCTGTCGTCAAACACGGCTGGTGGGAGGGATCGAATCTTGGCCATGGCCGCGGCGAGCGAAGGAAACTGCTCCTCGTGGGCATCCACTTTCCTAAACAATTCGCGCTTCTGCAGCGGGGGCGTGGGGGGTGGCGCGCATCGCGAAAGTGAATCAACAAAACGTAAAGGGGTAAGGCTGTAAAGCCACACCATCCACCCGCGTGCGTGCAGCAAGTGTTGTTACATTATTGATGCGCTGAAATGACACGCAGAAGTGTGCTGGCGCGCACATGTAGTGACACGCTGAAGTGTGCTGAGGTGATATGCAAACACACATACACCCACAAACACACCACATACACACTCACACACACACATCACATACACACACGCACACACTCACACTCACATCACATACACACATGCACGCACATTGATTGGCTGGCCAAGGTCGACATCTTGCAAAGCATCTGTGCTGACAGCAGGGCCGCTGCTGTTGGCGCTGGCCACGGGCTGTGACGAGCGGAGGCGCTTGCGCAGTTCATTCAGGAACTCAACAGGATACGCTGCACGGTCTTGCCAGATGGAAATGACCCGAATCAGCTGCTGTTGGCCCTTTGCATCAAGCACCCTGTGCAGGAGGCAACCGCACCGCGGGCGTGTGAGCGGCTGCAATGCAATTGGAAGGTTTGTGTTTGCCATGTTTTGGCCACCAACCGCAGCTCCAGCACACAGGCAGACAGGCAGACACAGAGGCACAGTCACAGACACTCAGACACAGGCAGACTGACACACAGACACACACACACACACACAGACTGATAGACAGACAGACACACACACGCGCACGCACGCACATGCACACACGCACATGCAGACAAACACGTGCGTGGAACTTACTTGTACACTTCGGGGAGCACGGTTGGAAGCACTGGCTGGAAGGCAGTGATGTAGGCCATGCCTTTCTTCCTGCCTTGGAGAATCACGTCATTGGCCAAGAAGATGAACTTGAGCTTCTGCTTTGTCGGCGCTGTTCACGGGCCAGCGCAGGCAGAAGGGAGAGAGACAGGGGCGACAGGGGAAGAGAGAGAGAGAGAAATGAGTCAGAGAGAGAGAGAGAGAGAGAGAGAGAGAGAGAGAGAAATGAGTCAGAGAGAGAGAGAGAGAGACAGAGAGACAGAGAGACAGAGAGAGAGACAGAGAGAGAGAGACAGAGAGAGAGACAGAGAGAGAGAGACAGAGAGAGAGACAGAGAGAGAGACAGAGAGAGAGAGAGAGACAGTGAGAGGAATGAGGGAGGGAAGGGAGTGTCAACAACTCGAGAAACAACTCGAGCGAACAACAACTCCACAAACAGCTTGAGCAACCATTAAATCCCCCACCGCACACACACACACACCTTGTTTGAGCTCTTGCTGCCACACTTTGACAATGTCGTCTGCGTGCTTGGAAAAGTGGAACAGCCAGAGCGAGAGTGACTGGATGCTGTCCTGGCTGGTCGACAGCGTCGACAGCTTGCGTATCAACGATGCCTTGTTTAATGACATGTCGCGTGTCCGTGTATTTAAGTGTGTGTGTGTGTGCGTTTATGTGTCTGTGTGCAGCGAACAACAGGCGATGCTGTGTTAGTGGTGCAGCAGCAGCAGCAGCAGTGGATGGCTGCTGGAGTGCAGGCAAGAGCGAGAGAGGGGAGAGGGTGACAGAGGGTGTGAGCGTTGTCCTTCCTTTCCTTCTCTCTTTCTTTCTTCCTGCTGCTCGCTTGTCTGGCAGTACTGAAAAGTAGATGAAGATGTGGTCAATTATCGCCCACTGAGGCTTATTTTTGGTCGTGGGAAAGAAACAAGCGGTGAGAGACAGAAAGGAGGAAAGGCAGAGGAGGAAGTGAGGAGAGTGGCTGGCTGGTGGGCTGACCCTCTTCTGGGCTTGTATGTGTTGTTGTGTTGTGTGTGGAGGAGACAAGAGACACCAGAGAGCGGGTGCGAAAAGTGCCACGACCGCTCGCAACTCCAATCCAACCACCTCTGTCTTGGTTCAGCTTTGTTGAAAGCGTCAACTGACATGTAAGTTTACTTGCGACCACGACCACCCCTGCTGCCACCACGACCACCACGACCACCACGACCACCACGACCACCACCGCGACCTCCCCTGCTGCCGCCACGGAAGCCACCACGACCACCACGACCACCACGACCACCACGACCACCACGACCACCACGACCACCACGACCACCGCGACCACCACGGCCACCACGGCCACCACGACCACCGCGACCACCGCGACCACCACGACCACCGCGACCACGACGAGCAGCTGCATCACCATCATCTTGCATCATCTTGGCGCGCTTGCGGTCGTGTGCACCGGCCTCTTCCTCCTGCAGTGGTTCACAATTCAAGCCAGCAAGCAAGCAGGTGAGTTTGCATACATGTATGAAACGACATCAACTACATTCCACACACGAGCACACACACACGCACACACGCACACACAAACCGCACCTCCTGTTCCTTTTCGAGGAGCTCTGCAAAGTCTTCGGCAGCGGCGAAAACTGAGGACTTGACGCCGTCATCACCGCCCATGCCGTGCTCCATATCCTCGTCTTCATCCTCGTCGCCAGACGACTCGGCAAGCATGCGCTCCAGGGCGGACTCGTCAAGGTCGTCTTCTGCTCACGTGCAAGATGGATGGGTGAGCGCCAACCGGGCGTGAGTGCGCATCCAACAAATGCGTAGTTGGGTGGCCATGTCAACGAAATGTCAGAGACAAGAGAAACAGAAATTGTGAGCACAGCGTACGAGCGCAAAACACCTCACCTTCTTCATCGAGGGCATCGTAGTCGACGTTGTCGTAGTCAAACTCGTCCTCCGAGCTACCGGCATCCTCAGCCTCACCCTGCTCTTCATCGTCGCTATCAGAGGCAACAGCGGCCGCCTTCTTCGCGCGCTTCTTGACAGGACCCTCAACGTCACCCTCACCTTCATCCTCATCCTCCTCGGCTTCTCCGGCTGTCTCCTCCGCTGTTGCCTTTGCCTTCTTCTTCCTCAGCTTCTTTTCCTTCTTGTCTGCGGTGTCACCGTCGCCACCGGCACCTTCAGCCTCTTCGTCGCTGTCGGGGAACGAGTCGTAGTCTGACGCGTCGTCAAGGTCGTCCGAATCACTTTCTCCGTCGTCCCGGCCCATCGCGCTGGGAGCCGTGCAAGGGCGTGGTTGGTAGCCGGGTGGGGGTGATTTGTGATTGGTGGGTGGTGGGTGTCGTGTGAGGAGGTGTGGTGCAGTTGCTACAAAGTTGATGTAGAGTTGTTGCTTTTGCTCTACAAGCACAAAGATAGGCGCATGTGCATGCAGCACACAAGCGAGAACACAACTCTTCACACATACACATACACAAGCAAGAACACACAGCCAAACACACACACGTACACGCATACATACATACACACACGTATACATACATACACACACATACGCGCATACACATACACACATCCACACATCCACACATACACACATCAACACACACGCAACAGGTATTCTGTGTGATGCTGTGTGATGAAAGCTACGCACGTTGCAAAGTCGAAGCCCAAGCCGCCGTCAACCTCCTCGCGCGCAATGGCTGCGTCCAGGCTCTCGGGCTCATCAACAGCCTTCTTGGTCTTGCCGAGGGACTTGCGCAACTTGAAGTACCTGCACAGCACCGCACCACATGGCCGCAGCGGCAGCAAGAGCAATCGTGTGAGTTGTGTTGATCGTGGTGAGTTGTGACACAGAGCTATTGAAACGAGAAGGACGCATGCAACACACACACACACACACAAGCATGCACACATGCACGCAAACACACACACACAACAACAACACAAGCATGCACACATACACGCAATCACACACACACAACAACAACAACACAAGCATGCACACATGCACGCAAACACACACGCACACACACACAATAACAACACAAGCATGCACACACACACACAGCGCGTCGTACTTGAGGAAGAAGGCCTCATCTGGTGCGACTTCAGACTCGTCCTGCTCAAGGAACTGCTGCGAGTTGACGGGCGCAGCAATTGCCCGCTTCGACACCTCCTTCGGCTGCAGTGACCATGTGCAATGGGAGTGGTGAGCGTGGGGTGAGTGGTGGCGGATGTGCAAGGGATGGAGGCGGCCCATCAGTGGCAGATGCTTTGTTCCAGCACACAACATCGTACAGGGCATGATTATTCGTTAAGGACGGGATGTAAGGGGGGGGGGGGGGCTCACCTGCATGACGGACTCGCCACGCTTGACCTTCTGCTTTGGATTCTTGAACATGAAGCGGTCCAGGAACCTGAAGCGTCAGACGTGCAGCGTTCACGTGAGTCGGAGACGAGATGCTTCTCCATGAACTTCAGGCGAGCGGGAGGACACAATACCGCAAACACACACACATACACAAAACGCACAAACGCACACGCACATGCACATACATAAACGCACACGCACGCACGCACATGCACATACATAAACGCACACACACACACGCACACACAAATACAAACACATGCATGCACAAACACGCACACACGCGCACGCGCACACACCAACCTGGCGAGGGAGAAATCCTGCAGGGCATCGCTGTTGTATGTGATGACCTTTCCGCTGACGACCGCTTGGGCAAACGCCTTCACGGCAGGGTGGAAGTGGTGGTTCAGCTGCCATGGTGCATGGGCGCAATAGTGGAGGGCGGTGAGCAATGACTGACGCAAACAGATGCGGCACGCACTCTGAACACACAACACATACACACACATACACACACATACACAAACACATACGCACACATACGCACACATACACACACATACACATACACACATACACACACAGAGCGGACAACCACAAAACTCCCCAAGCAAGCACACACTTGCCCCGCCACGGTGCACAAGCAAACGTGCACAATCCATGGTGCACAGCACTCACCACGGCCACCTCCCAGAAAGCGGTGGTCTCTGCCTTTGCAAATGTCGGCTCGCGCTTCAGAGGAAGGTAACCTGAGAGGTGAACCCAGGCACAGATACGTGCACATGATAAGTCAGACATCAGCGCCAACGTGTGCATCTGAAGGTGGACACCTCACCATACTCAGCACCAAGCGGCCGATGGATGCACACATCACGCACAAGCACATGCTCAGGCACACATGCATATATGCACACCTGAAGGGAAGCGAATGCCGCCATCGATACGGGAGTTTTGCTTGTGATCAGCATCATCCTCTGTTGCTTCATCGCCTGTCTTCTCTGGCGATGACGTCTCGCCGTCGCTGCCTTCCCCATCTTCCTCTTCCTTGACGTGGCTGACCGTGCTATCTGCGCCATCACCGACCTCGTCTTCCTCTTTCTTTACTGCACTGTCGGTGGCTTGGCTGCTGTCTGCATGGGCTGCATTTGCCGTTTCCTCGCTGTCCACTTCGGGCGCGTCAACAAAGATCTCCTCCTCGTCAACCGCCTCGCCCTGGAACATGGCCTGGACCGCCGTCTTGGCATTCACAACCTGCACCCAGCGGACACGAGGAAGAGGCGCGCGAGTGATGAGTGGGGGGGGGGGGGAAGCGGCCAGATGAGAAGTTGGTGGTGGTGGTGGTGGTGGTGATGGTGGTGGTGGTGGTGGTGGTGGTGGCACCCATTGCATGTGCAGGTGAATGGTGCGAGCGACAATCAAGATGAGTCCGATTCAGGGAGGCCACACGAACCTTTGACAGGACAATGAGCGCCGCGCAGGCAAAGCTGGGAGGAGCCTGCAGGCAAACTTGGAAGAGGCGCTTGCAGAACGCGCGCACTCTGTCCAAGACGGGGTCTGCAATGATGGCCTTTTGCAGGAGCGTGAGGTAGAGGCCGTGCTTGGACGATGACGGCAGCCGGTCATCAAACAGCGACGCGTACAGCGCACTGCATGCGTATATATGTAGAATGCGGTGTGTGAGTGGGAGTGGTGGCGGTCGCTTGCTTTTCGACCACAGGAAGCAACGCACAGGTTGCATGGAGGCATCTTAACATATGAACGCAAACAGAAAGATGCTTGCACACACAGGCGCGCACGCACGCACGCACGCACACACGCACGCACGCACACACGCACGCACACACGCACACACACAATTGCACGCACACACACACACGCCCACGCGCACGCACACAATTGCACGCACACGCACACAATTGCACGCACACACACACACACACACACCGATAGAAACGGTCTGAGATGGAACGGCTGGAGTTCATGACTTGGAAGAGCAGCATGAGCGCCTGTCAACGGTGAGGGAACGAAGGGGACAAGACGTGAGTTTGGGCACACATTGTGTGACTGTTGGCACCAAGCTGAACACACATCCGCGCACAGTTCATATGTGTGCACATGTGTGGAATTGCACACAGAGGGGCCAAAGAGACAACGGGAGACCAGAAAGAACAGAAACATCATCACCACCCCAAGGGATGACGTGACGTCATTGCCTCTCCCATCTTCCCCATCCAACATCTTCCCCATCTTCCCCATCTTCCCCGGCCCACATCTGCCCTGTCCAACAGCTCTACCCTCCGTGTCCTCTCCACAGTGCAGGATACCTGCACGCTGCAGTTGAAACTGCCAATGTGTGTGATGCGGAAGAGGTCGCTTGCGTGCGCCTCGAACATCTCGTTGCTCGCGGCGCCGCGGTACGGGTTGGCGCGGTTGATGCCCGTGAGAACGGCAGAGAGCAACCGGTAGTGCTCCTCCTCGTCGGGCTTGATCACAGCCTGATATTGGTTTGGGGGCAAGACGAAATCGCCAACGTTGGTTGTTGAGGTGAGTGTTGGGGCGAGTGTTGAGGTTAGGGCGTGGGAACGCGAGTGATATACACAGGAAACACAACGTAGGAGTGGAGTGAAGAGGATGATGAAACAAGACGTCAAACAATTGAGCGAGTGGCACAACATAGTTGGAGCAGCCTACAATTGCGGTACAACTACTCGTCGGCAGAAGCCCAGCAAATTGCACACACTAACACACTTACACACACACGCACATATACAAACATGCACACGCGTATGTGCAAATGAATGCACACACACGCACACACACACACATTCACGCTCATACATGCACACATGCAAGCACACATACGCAAACACAGGTACACACCTTGAAGAACTCAAAGTAGATGGAGACGAGCTTCGCAGCAATATCCGCCATGCTGTGGGAGAGCTCAATCTGGGTAAGGAAGGTGATGGCGTAGTACTGGGCACGCAGCTTGATGTTTGGGCGGAACAACAGCTGCTGTACTTCCTTGATGACCACCATCGTCATGGACGGGTGCTCCCGCAGCAGCGTCTGCAAGTAGTAGATGGCACGCGAGGCCACCTTCTTGATGGGGTCGCCCATCGTGTTCACAATCAGCGCCAGCAGGCCCTGTGTGTGTGTGTGTGTGTGTGTGTGTGTGTGTGTGTGTGTGTGTGTGTGTGTGTGTGTGTGTGTGTGTGTGTTCATGTGTGTGTGAGATAGAGTGTGGAAAGGAAAAAAGAGAAACCATAGGACGAAGGGCAGCTCGTTGACACAGTGCACGAATGACCACAGGCACATGCAATGAATGACCACACGCACACACACACACACACACACATGAACACATGAACACATGAACACAAGAACACACACCTGCTCCTTCTCGGGGAAGCCTGTGAGGAGGTTGTAAGTAAGGGTGAGGGCCTTGCTCTTGATGTTTGCCTCCGGGTCCTGAATAAGCTTGCCGAGAGCCTCAATAAAGCTGCTGTAGTGCTTCTTGATGACGTCCTCGTAAACCCACATCATCACCACTCGATCCTGACATCACCAACAAGCAAACAAACAGCATGTCAACAAAGGCGCCGGCCATTGTGTGTGTGTGTGTGTGCCTGTGCGTGTGTGTGTGTGTCTGTCTGTCTGTGTATATGTGTCTGTGTGTCTCTCTGTGTGTGTCTGTGTCTGTGTCTGTTCATCCGCGTGCTGCACTTGTGAATGGACGCCTTCGGCTTGCGTGCAGTTGTTGCTGAAAGCGATTGCACTTTTACAGTTCGTACCAGGTTCTTGCTCTTGGCCTTGTCTGATGCGAACCCCTTCTCAAGCAGCTCCACGAGCGGACGGTGGGCGAGTGGGATGAGCTTGCGCTGTGGCAGCAGGCGTGACGTAAACACCTCATGCAGTGAATCTGTAAGGGGCACGTGCAAGTGGCAGTGACGTGAGATGTCATACATGGCGTAGAAGGTGGATCAACCAATGGCAGGTTGGCGTTCATGTGCATGCTGACACAAGCGTCTCATGACGATGCAATAATGCTCGCAGACCTACAAACACACACACACACACGCACACGCATACACACACGCACGCACACACGCGCGCGCGCACACACACGATTGCAAGCAGACACGGAATCCCAGAGTGTGCCCAACGCACCGCTGGCCATGATGGCTTCGCGCTTGCTCTTCTTTGTGACGCATTGCAGGAGCGACTCGAGGGCGTTGAGACGGTGGACAGCTGAGTGCTGCACGCGCATGACGAGGGCGGCGTGCTTATCCGCCAAGGTACCGGAGTTGAGGATGTTCCTCAACCAAGACTGGTCGTTGCCGCGCACTTTGTTCACGCCTGTGTGTGTGTGTGTGTGTGTGTGTGTGTGTGTGTGTGTGTGTGTGTGTGTGTGTGTGTGTGTGCGTGTGTGTGCGTATGAGTGTCGTGAGTAAAGGCCACGAGTGATGGCCTGCGGAGCGATGGCCTACGCATGCAAACACATGCACACGCACACGGTTAGCTGCTGCACAGACAAACGCAGTCACGCACGTGCTTCGTAGTTTTCGGCCTCTGTCTCCAGGAGAGAGCGGCCATATTTGCGGAACTGAGCAACAATGGCCGGGGAAGCGATGATCTTGCCACGGGATGTTTGGTCGAGCGTGGCTGTTGCCCGGTTTGGCTTTGTCTCTGTGAGCACATCGATCCAAGGCATGCCGCCCTCCACCAGCTGTGTGTTGCGAATCGCGGGATCAGGCAGGGTAATGCCCTTGTACTTGTCCATGGCTGCTTGCAGCTCCTCCACTGTCATGTCCTCTGGTGCCTTTGGGGCGGCGCTGGCGTCTGTCGCTGACGAGTCGTTTGCTGTGTCTGCGGGCTTGCCCTCCTTCTTTGCCTTCTTTGCCTCCTTCTTTGCCTTCTTTGCCTGTTTCTTCTCCTTCTTCTTCTCTTGCCTCTTCTTCTCCTTCTTCTCCTTCTTCTCCTTCTTCTCTTTCTTCTTGTCCTTCATCTCAGTCACGTCCTTGGCCTTGTCGGTGATCTCCTCCTTGACCACCTTCTCTGCCTTCTCTGCCTTCTCTGCCTGAACCTCCTTCACCTTCTTTCCACCCTCCTCTTGCTTCGATCCGTTCGTGGCCTTCTTGTCCTGCTTCTCCTTCTTGTCTTTGGCTTTCTTCACCTTGGTACCCTCGGCGGGCTTCTTGCCAACGGCTGCATCGCCAGTCTTCTTCTTCCTGTCGTTGCTCGCAGGCTTGCCCATCTTCGACGATGCTCTTGTCTGCGCACGCACGATGTGGTGGTGTGTGGCTTGGTGTTGTGTGTGTGTGTGTGTGGCTGCGCGTTTTGCCTTGTTGAAAAAACACACCACGTGCAACCAAAAAAAAAGGTTTGGCCTGTTGCAGGAATCCAACTCTCCGCCTTCAAAAAAACAAAGCATTTACTTGCTTGTGGTTGGCGCCCGCGCCGTTTTTGAAGAAGAAGAAGATGAGCGAGAGTGAGGATAACGGCTCCACCTCCACTGCTGTTGCTGTGGGAGGTGCAGGAGAGCATGGCGAGCATGGCGAGCTGGACGCTGTGGCGCGCATCGCTGCCTTTGATGTGGACGCCCTGTTTGCGTCGCACTCTGGGACAGCGGTGAGCGGGTCGCAGACCTCGCTTCCGGCGCTGTTCTCGCCAGAACGCTCGCTCTCGGCGTCCCTTGCTTCAACGCTCTCGGCGGCGTCATCTTCCTCGTCGCTGAACATCGCCACGCCTGGGCGTTCTTCGGGCCACCCAGCCACTGCCAGCGCAGGTGCACGCGTGCAGCGTGAAGGCTATCCTCGCAGCCATCGACGCAGGAACCAGCCGCGGCAACAGCAAGGCAGGCGCGAGGAAGAGCTGGTGGCCCAATGGCAGGAGCGGTGGCAGTCAAACAACGACCAGCACAGCACAACACGCCAGCGAGCTGATGTGGACGGACTGCGGCGTAACTATGAAGCACAAGTGCATGAACTCGAAGACCTCTTACAAAGCACCCGCCTGGATCTCATTCAACTCCGGCAGTCTGCGGTGTGTGTGTGGGGGTGGGTAGGTGGGTGGGTGGGTGGCTTTTGTTTGTGGGTGGCTTTTGTTTGTGCATGTATGTCTTTGTTTTTGCGTGTATGTGTGTGGTTGTGTGTGTGTGCCTGTGTTTGCTCGGATGCTTCATGTGTGTGTGTGTGCGTGTGTGTGTGTGCGTGCGTGATTGTATGTTTGTGTGTGCTTGTGTGATTGTCTGTGTGTACGTGTGTATTTGCTCGAATTCCTCATGTGCGCGTGTGTGCGTGTACCTTTGTGAAACAAAATAACACCTCGTGTGAGCTTACCCTTCGCTGACTGTTTGCTCTGCTGGTGTTGCACTCTCAATAGCATGCGCGGGAAGACCAACTCAACCACCGCATCCACAATCTCAGTGATGAGCTGGAGGTGTGATGTCGTGGCGGTGCTTTGTGTGGACTCGAGTGTGTGGTATCGTATGTCAAAACCTGCAGCTGAATGCATTGCACCTCACGCAACGTTGTCTTGTTGACTTGTGCGTCCCAACCGCCCTTGTTGCCAGAGCTATGCCGCAGAGAACAGGCGCCTGCAGTCCAAGATCTCGGAGGTGCGCTGCGTGTGCTTCGCTTGTGTTGGTTTAGCGCGCGCGCGCGCGTGTGTGTGTGTGTGTGTGCGATGCTTAATTGGCCGTGCATCTCACAACACCCGCTGCGCCATGTTCTGTTTCTTGCAGGAACGCAAGCAATGGCAGCATGCAGTCGACGAGGTCAGGTTTACCAACAACGCCTTGCTCATCTTGAAACCCACACATGTTGTTGTTCTTGCTCATACACATTCCACTGAGTAACGCGTGATTGTTAACCTCTCCATACACCATGAACGATCCATCTACATTCAGGCAACACAGCGTTTCGACAACGACCGTCAGCGTGAGTCTGTGTGTGTGTGTGTGTGTGTGTGTACGCGCGCGTGGTTGCATGTCTGTCTGTGTCTGTCTGTGTCTGTCTGTCTGTGCCTGTGTATCCGTGTACCTGTGTGTGTGTGTATCCGTGTATCTGTGTGTGTGTGTGTGTGTGTGTGTATCCGTGTACCTGTGTGTACCTGTGTGTGTGCGTGCAGTGTTCCGCATGACCATGCGTGGTTAAACTGCAACGGACATGCTCTGATGAATGGTGTTGTTGCTGTTACGGTGACAGAAATTGAGCAGGAGCGAGAACGGCTTCGAGTGCAGGTCGGTGCACACTCAATCTGTTGCTGGTCTGCTGTTCGTTGTTCCTTGTGCTGTCTTATGTTTCCCTGTGACGTCTTCCCTGTGGTGTGCTGCAGTGCCTCACCTTGAGGATTACCACTCGCGTGCATCCTTTCCGCTCGCATACGACCACGATGCACAACAGGTGGCGGAGCTGTCGACTGCGCTTGAGACCAGCAGGCAGGAGGCGGCAAGTGCAAACGCAGCCATCACGCGCCTTAAGGTACTTTCGTTGGCGTCAGCACGTTGAACGGATATATGCCGTGGCGAATGCACACGTGTGCGTGTGTCTGTCCGTCTGTCTGTGTGTATGCGTGTATGTGTGTCTGTATGTGTGTCTGTGTGTGCATGGATGTGTATGATGCGTAAATGTACGCGTACACATGTACATCCATGTGAACACACGCGTGAATACTGCGCTACTGCCATGCGTGCTTGGCCTCACCACGAACGTGCCGCCGCCAACAATCGCCGCTGGTGTCGTGAGCAGAAGCAGGACGCGCGCCTCGGCCGCATCTCGCAGCTAGAGGAGGATCTGCAGACGTACCACGTCGAGATGACAGCAATGAAATCAGCCCTTGATCGCCTCACAGATGAATACACGGTGGGGGACGGAGTAATGTGTGTCTGTGTGTGTGTCTGTGTGTCTGTGTGTCTGTGTGTTTCGTGTGCGTGTTTGTGTGTGTGCGTGTGCTTTTGTGTTTCGTGTGCGTGTATGTGTCTGGGCGTGTGCTTTTGTGTTTCGTGTGCGTGTATGTGTCTGGGCGTGTGCTTTTGTGTTTCGTGTGTGTGCGTGTGTCTGGGCTGCCGTTCGCGTTCTCATTGTTGCCCGTTTCTTTGTGCAGACGATTGATCGCGAGCACGCAGCGCTGCAGAAACGCCATCAACAGGCGACGCACGACAACAAACTGCTCACCCAGGACAAGACCTATCTCGGTGGGCACCATGACACATTGTTCTGACGTTGCCTGTTCTTGCTCGTCGCTGCTGTGGTTGGAGGACAAGTGGCAGTGTCTTCATGTTGTGATGCACACACGACCATATCTGCACATTCAACATGCTCACATGCCCACGCACCGCATGCACACATTCACGTCATGCCGCTGTGCAGAGAAGCAGCTTGCGCGGGAGCAGAACACGGTCTCCATCCTCAACTCTCAGGTTTGCACGCGATGCATGAGTGCAACGTGGACGAATGGTTATCAGGTGGCGCAATTGTCCTGTGGCGGTTGATGACTAGTGCATGTGGCACCTTCACGTGACCAATGCCCGCTCTCCTCTTCAGTCTGTCTTTTCCCGTCCATGTCACGCTCATTTGCGGTCCATGAATCGATGCAGTTGAGTGATTTGCAGGTGAAGCTGCGGTCGTCGGAAGCGAAGACGCGCGAGGCTAAACTTCAACTCGACACACAACTGTACGCAACCCACGTGGTGGGATGTGTGTGTGTGTGGGTGTGGGTGTCGGTGTGTGTGTGTGGGTGTGGGTGTGGGTGTGGGTGTGGGTGTGTGTTGGTATGTCAGTGTGTGTTTGCCTGTTGTGTGTGTGTGTGTGTATTTCTTTCGAGCTGACACTGCCACACAACGTCCTCTGCATGTACACACGCACTCACGTGTGTTTTTGATGACTCCGACTGGTTTCCTTTCGCCTCCAACATCACGTTGCGTCAGAGCGGAGCAGCGGCGGCAGTTGGAGGAGAATGTCGCCACCCAGCTGGCCGAAATGAAACGCAAGAACGACGAGGAAATGGACAACATCAAACGTTCCAATGAGGTCTGTGTGTGTATGTGTGTGTGTGTTGATCCGTGTGTGTATGGGTGTGTGTGTAAATGTGACCGTGTTTGTGTGTGTGTGTGTGTGTAATGTGACCGTGTGTGTGTGTGTGTTTGTGTGTGTGTGTGTAAATGTGACCGTGTTTGTGTGTGTGTGTGTGTGTGTGTGTGTGTGTGTGTGTGTGTGTTTGCTCGTCTGCCCCTCGTCCGTGTACGTGGTGGCGTATCCATCCGCCTGTGCGCTTGCTTGTCTACTCTCCGCCACCCATGCAGCGTCTCACCAAGCCTTCCTCGTGCACACACATGTCGGCGTGTTCACCTGCCCTGTGACAGTCTGTGCAACTCCGCGAACTGGACATGATGCGGCGTGATCGCGAGCAGGCGATGCATGCACATGCCGTCGCCCAGGCCAAGCTGCAGGTGACAGTGGTGTTGTTGTTGTTGTTGTTGTTGTTGTTGTTGTTGTTGTTGTTGTTGTTGTTGTTGTTGTTGTTGTTGTTGTTGTTGTTGTTGTTGTTGTTGTTGTTGTTGTTGTTGTTGTTGTTGTTGTTGTTGGTGGTATTGGAGTTGAATGGTGGTGGTGGTGGTGGTGGTGGTGATATTGGTGGAGAGTGCTCTTCAACGGTCACACTGATTCCCGCATTCATGTTGCGCACACGTCTCATTGGAGCCACGACGATCCGCTTGCTTCGTGTACATGACAGGCATTGGAGCGGAAACATGTGGAGGAAGTGGACAACTTGAAGAATCAAATTCGCGACCTGGAATCGCAGTTGACAAACACACACGCAGAGGGAAAACTCAAGTCGTTTGAACACGACCGCACAACGGTACGAAACTGTTCGCGTTCGCACGTGCATGCTTGTGTGTCCTTGGAGTGCATGTGTCGTGCATGGCTGCGTGTGTCCGCGCAAGTGAATGCCCATGTGTTGAGAGTGAACGTTCTCACCGCACACACTCACACACACATACACTCACACTCACGCACACTCACACTCACACACACGCACACGCACACGCACTCGCACTCGCACTCACGCATATTCATACACACACTCACTCACACACACACACACACACTCACCTCTGTGCCTGCGCATCGATGCCAGCTGCTGCTGGAGGAGAAACAGCAGCAAGTGCAATCGCTGGAGATGAAAGTGGATCGGTTGCAGCAGGAATGCAAAGTGAGCTACCTGCGTCGTGTAAGCCGTGAGCCACCACGCTCTGTCTCTGATGTCACGATTGTTCAGGCGAACATCTACGCGCTCAACACGCACACACACTCAACTCACACGCGCATTGTGTGCACATCAACTCCACACGTCAACGTCACACCACGCGGTGCAGGTTGTGCGTGAGGAGTATCAACGACTGGAAGTGGACTCGCAGCAGCGCATCGCAACGCTGCGCGCGCAGCTCGATGACGCAACGACGAAGATCAATGCGTTCACCAAGCTGGAAGACGTGAGTGTTAGCTGGGTGTGGATTGTTTGCTTGCTGTGATGTGATGGCTGAGTTGCATGCGTGCGTGTGTGCATGTGCTTGCGTGTGTGTGTGTGTTTGAGCACCAAGCGCACGCGACAACGTATGCTTTGCTCATCATTTTGCGATCACACACTCGCACACATGCTCAATTTTTACGTCTCATTCATTTCAGGAATTGGATCAAGTGGTGATGGCGGCAGCAGAGTCATCCGATCCGCACAAGGTGTTCTGGTGCTTGGAATGGTGACGACGATCATGAAGGACAACATTTTCATCCATGTCTCGAATGTTCAGAGATTCACTGCTGGATGTGAAGAACCTGTGTGTGTGTGTGTGTGTGTGTGTGTGTGTGTGTGTGTGTGTGTTGACTCGCTTCGCTTACTGCAGTCCAATTCACCATCTTGTGCCTTCAGGTGTTCCTGTCGTTTGGATACGGGCGAAACACGCAGCGCCGCGTGCAGAAGACAGTCGACCTCGCAAGACAGGTGTGCCTGTGTCTGTGTCTGTGTGTGTGTGTGTCTGTGTCTCTGTGTGTGTGTCTGTGTGTCTGTGTCTGTGTGTCTGTGCTGTTGGTTGCTCATTGAACGCGATATTGCTTTTCGTACACTTTGTGTTTGCTCTTGTGACGTCGAAACCACTGTGCCCATTCACACGTGTGTACGCATGTGTTGCTGATGGCTCAGGTGCTGGAAGCGCGGAGGGCACAGGCCGAAGCGCAGGAGGTGAGCTGCGTGATGTGACATGGCTGCTGGTTGAGCATGAAGTTGGAGATTGGGCGTGTCACCACCAACGTGATGCATGCACGCATACATGCAACCATGCTCCGTTACATTATCCCGTTTTCGTACCGCACAACGTTCATGTGAGTCACTCACTGTTGTGCTTGTCGTCGCCCCGTCCACACAGCGTGAGAAGCAGCTCAGAAGTGACTTGGCAGAAACGCAGCAGCAGCTGCGCGATGCACAAGCGCTCGTCAACAACGCCTCGCAGCCCCTCTCCTATTTCTTACACATGCTGGAAGAGGTAATGTGTGTGTGTGTGTGGGTGTGGGTGTGTGTGGAGGGGGTGTGGGCGTGTGTGGGGGTGAGAGACAGAGAGACGGGAGGAGGGAGAGACAGAGAGGGTGTGAGGTGGGTGTAGGTGGGTGTTGGCTACGCTCCCTTCCGTGTCACGGGAGGGCATTCCCCATCAAACAAATCACACACATTTCACCCACACATGCACATACTGTACACGTGCGCGAGCAGAAGGACGAGCGACTTCGAGAGGAGAGGGCGCGCGTGGAGGCGCTGGAGCAAGAGCGTGTGCAGTTGGAGCAAACGCAGCAGCAGCTGATACGGGAGCGCGACGCCTTGAACCGCCACGCTGTCATTGGGAAGCGCCACGCACAGCACTTGCGCAATCTGCGGGCGAATTTCAAGGACATGGTACTGCGTGTTTGTGTGTGTGCGTGTGTGTGTACATATGTGTCTGTGTCTGTGTCTGTCTGTGCGTGTCTGTGTGTACATATGTGTCTGTGTGTATATATGCGTCTGTGTCTGTGTCTGTGTCTGTGTCTGTGTGTATATATGTGTCTGTCTGTCTGTCTGTCTGTCTGTCTGTCTGTCTGTCTGTGACTCTGTTGGTAATTCCATGCAAGCATGAATGGCGTGATGCGATTGCTTGTCCCTTGCACGACCGGCACCCACCTTGCCATCTCCCCCCACAACAACACAACACTGGACTCACAGTCGCCTGCACATCATCCTCCCTGCTGCTTGATGCGCCAGCTGTCGCAACTTCAAGATCAAGGGGAGACATCACTGGCAACAACACTGACACAAATGCTGCGCGCACAGGCGAGGTGATTTCGTGAATACCTGCTGCGCTATGGCACTGTCTTCTGCTCTGTCATGTTCTCTTGTCATGTTGTTCTCTTACTGTGTTCGTTCGCTCTCACTCACATGCGCCACTCACTTGTCGATACACATACACTCACTCACTTGTCGATACACATACACTCACTCACATGCACCACTCCCTCACATACACTCACTCACATGCACCACTCACTCACATGCACCACTCACTCACATACACTCACTCACATGCGCCACTCACTCACATACACTCACTCACATACACTCACCCACATGCGCCACTCACTCAAACACACGACTTTCCACTGCGCACATGACCATCGTCTTCCGTATCAGTAGCGCTGGCGGCAGCAGCGGCCATCGCACGAGTCGCAGTGGGCCGGCCCCAGTGCTCGTCCACAACAGAGCAGCAGCGAGGAGCACGTAGTGGAATGCAGCACACACACACACACACGCACGCAGGCATGAGCATATGCACATGTTCGTAATTCAACAGGCATTTCCTTCAACTTTGGTGTGTGCACCACGTCAACGTCGTCGCGATGATATTACAGATTGTTTACTCGAAACTGTCAATCCCTCACACACTCACACTCACACACACACACACACACACACACACACACACACACACACACACACACACACACACACACACACACACACACACACACACACACACACACACACGAGACCATCGAACGTCAACACTTTTGTGTGTGTGTGTGTGAGGGAATGGGATCTAAAACGAGGCTCAAGTCAGAAAACCTGACACACGCACAGAATGCTAAGAGAAAACAACCACAGCAGGACAAACGATTAAACAGGCAAGCAGGCAGGCAAGGTTTGGAAAGGGGGAAGAAGAGGTTGCTGACGAGACGCTGACAGGGACACACAACACGAAAAAGCACAACAACACAAGCACGATAAAACAGCAAGGAGGAAAGGCAGAGAGGAGAAAAGGACGCTTAAACAACAAGGAGATGTTGCGAAAAGCAACACGCAGGATGTTGAAGAATGGAGCGCTGGTGCTGTATCGGGCTGGATCATGGTACCTCGCTCGCCCCCTGGCCCTTAACAACCAATACCAGTGACAACCCGGGGAGGCGTGCGTGCGCACTGTCAAACGGTGGGCTGCGTGTGCAGATTACTTGAGAACGCCAACACCGGCGCTGTGACGAATGGCCTGAAAGAGGGAGAGAGGGGAGGGGGGTGATTGAAGCAAGCGCGCATGTCAAGGAGAAATGTGAGTCACAAAGAGGGATGCCATGCGATGGCAATGCACTGTATAAGGTGGCATAGAAAGGACGCTGCAACGCGTAGCATGCAGGACACAATAGGTGTACACACGAGCAGAACACAAACAGCACAATGGCTAATCCCTGGTGCAAAACTGACCACAGACTGCTCCTTTGGAATGGGGATGTTGAGGCGGGACATGTAGCGCAGGCGGATCTGCTGGTTGGTCGCCGCCAGAATCTGCGTTGGCTCCGGCTCGTTGGTGACTGCAGTGCCAAGGGAATAATGACACACATGTAAGCGCGCACGTGCACCACACACACACACGCACACACACATGTAAGCGCGCACGTGCACCACACACACACACACGCACACACACACAAGCGCATGCACACACACATGCACAATCAGGTGAAGCGCAGACATGGCGAGACGATGAGGTGAGGGAAATGTGAGGAAGTTAAAGTGGGCAGAAGAGATGGGTTATGGCGTGTGCTGGCACGGGCCATTGACGGGAAGGGAAGCATGAGCAATTGACACAACCATTTGCAGGTTTCGAAGCCATGCTACTTACGCAGGGAACGTTTCTCCTCCTCCTTGTCTTGCTTGGCGCTGGACGCAATGGACAAAACCAGGGTGAACATACGATGCAGGACGCATGCAAGTGAGCAGAGGATGGTGAGGTGGTGACATCTGTACAAAAACACGACTGCATCCAACGCATTCCCACACATGCATGCGCCATACACACCCACAGCAACCAAGAACAATTGACAGCAACCCACAACACCCAACAACAACCCACAGCGCTCAACAACATGACCACCACCGCTCAACAACATGACCACCACCGCCACTGCTGTCGCGCGTGACGCACCGCTCCTCTGCGCTCCAGTTGAGGATTCCGGAGCCGGCGGCGTCCATGAAGAAGAGGAGGACACCGCACAGGAGGGACAGGCACAGCCACGCGCAGAAGAACATCTCAAGCCACAAGTAGCCCTGAAATGAAAAAGGTGTCACGCAGAGAAGGAACAGGAAGAGATGGATGATGGGGTGAGGATGGCGGGGTGTGTGTGATTGTGCTGTGCCGCGAAGAGCAAATAACAGCAAGCTGTATGCGGGGGTGTATGCACGCGCGGGGGTGTATGCATGCGCGGGCGTGTATGCATGCGCGGGCGTGGACAGCTCACTACACACACACACACACACATACACACACACACACACACACACACACACACACACACACACACACACACACACACAGAGCACAATTCACCCACACGCACAACACACACACACACAGCACAACACAAAGCACATGTGTGCACGCTGACGTTGTCGTCGACGATCATGCCGGCGACCATGGAGATGACGGCGAGGCCGAGGTTCTGCAGCGCCTGCATAAACCCGTACGCAGTGCCTGCAGTGCAAACGGAGAGAGAGAGGTGTGTGTGTGTGTGTGTGAGAGAGAGAGTGTGTGTGTGTGTAAGCGGTTGTATGTGTGAGTGTGTCTGTCTGTCTGTCTGTCTGTGCAAGTGTGTCTGTCTGTGTTTATGAGTGGGTGTGGGCAGGGGTGTCTGTCTGTCTGTCTGTCTGTCTGTATGCCTGTGTCTTGGTATGAGTCTGTGTGTGCTTGAAGTGAAGAAATGCCACGAGTCTTGGAGACGGCATGAGCAACGTACCGAGCTGGTGCTCTGGCAGGACGTAAGCAACCATTGGCCACAGGGCGCAGGCAACAAGACTGGATCACGTCGTGGTGATCGGGACGTTTGTTAATTAGGCGAATACGTGCAGCAGGCGAATGCACACAGGAGGGCGGTTGTGTGGAAACAGTGAGGGATTGTGCGTGGACACACCAGCATACACAACGGCCCGCCTGTGCTGATTGGAGAATACATGGACAATTACACACGCATACATATTTCACTCGCACACAGTGACACACGGACACGCACACGCGCAAACGAAGCGCATCTCACCTGTATGCGAATCCCATGACAATGACGCCAGCGTACGGATTTACAAACGTGTACGCGAGGAGCATGTGGGAGAACAGGGTGGCGATGATGCCGAGAATGCACTGGTGATCATGACAGCAGTGGTGGTGATGATGATGATGATGATGATGATGATGATGATGATGATGATGATGATGATGATGATGATGATGATGATGATGATGATGATGATGATGATGATGATGATGATGATGATGATGATGATGATGATGATGATGATGATGATGATGATGATGATGATGTGGTGTGGAGTGGCAGGCAATGAGGTTGGGGTTGAGAGGTGGCGTGAACCTGGTGGCAGCGGACAACGCTTCGACCAAAGCAATGTGGCGCCACACACACACACACACACACACACACACACACACACAACCCACACCACCATCGCCACGCGACATTGCATGCTTCACAGCATTGGGGAGGGCGGTCGTTTGTACCCAGGAGAGGTTTCGGCCGGTCTTGTCGACGAGGTAGCCAAATGCGGGCGACGCAACAGCAGAGATGACGTACACAAGACTGCACGCATGTATGGGTGGACGGTGACGGTGGCGAAGTATTGTTATCGTGGCGAGTGGTGGATGTCATGGGGGGGGGGCTAGTGGTTGTTGTGGTGAGTGGTTGCTCTTGTGCATGCCTTGATTCTGAACAAACCACCCTCAAGTGCATGAGAGGACGCCGAACAGTGAGTGCATTCATGTGAATGAGCAGCACAGTGCTCGCTCACCTGTTGATGGTTGATGCGGTTGACTGGATCAGGCCCCACTTCTGCTGGTAAAACGTCAGCGCAAGGCCTGATTGTGTGTGTGTGTGTGATTGTGTGTTTAGGAGCGGGGATCACGTAGAACGGCGGCGTGAGCTGAAGAACTGTTGTGTTAGCTTTGCAAGCACGCGAGCACAGACACAATTTGAGGCGCAAACGCATCAACATGGAAACACGCGCACACACACACACACACAGAAACACACACATACAGATACACGCACACAAAAACACACACATACAGATACACGCACACAGAAACACACACATACAGATACACGCACACAGAAACACACACATACAGATACACGCACACAGAAACACACACGCACACGCACACGCACACGCACACGCACACGCACACATGCACACTGCCTCGCCAGGCTGTCTGTACCGATAAAGGGGAAGACGGCGACGTAGTACGCGACGCAGATGACACACATGAGCCAGAAGCTGACGGGAAAGTCGAGAATGTCCTTGAGCTGGATGACTTCGCCCGTCTCGCCATCCCCGCGCTTCAGGATGCGTGCAGCGCGCTGGTGATAGTGGTGGTGATGGTGAGGAGAAATGGTGGTGAGGAGAAGTGGTGGTGAGGAAAAGTGTCGTGGTAGTAAGGAGGAGGGTAGTGGTAGTTACAGTGGTGGTAGTGGTGGTGGAGAGAAGGGTGTTCGGTGGACAGGTGATCGTTCGTGGGCAAACACGTTGTTGAGCGCGAGGGCGAACGCACGTAACAAATACCCACGCACATGCACATGCACACAAGTACGCGCACATACAAGCATGTGCACACACGCACGCGCGCATGCGCAGCTCAAAAAAAAAAAGGCAGATCAACCTTGTCGAGCCAGCCGGCAAGGAGGGCGCAGAGGAGCGAGAAGACGCAGATGATGCCGCCAATCCAGAGAGCACCGCCAAGGGCGTGGTCCCCCTCGCCAAACGCGTCGTAGATGGGCTTCATGATGTTCATGTTCACCGTGCTGCCCACGCGCGAGAAGCTCAGCTGCAGGCCTGCGCAGGCGAGGACGGGACGGAGGATGGGAGTGACAACAGTGAGCATGCTGATCAGCACTGGTTTCGCGCCAAACCTCCGGCTGTGTCCTCGTGCATGGAGGAAACAAAGGCACGTACAACGGGACAAAAACTACGCATCTCGCGTTGGAACATAAAATGTAACAGCACATAAATACACATTCAGACACATTCATACATGCATTGATCGCACACAAACACACGCACACACAGAAAGAGGAGGATGGGTGGGTGGGAACGCACCGAAGACCATGTTGAGCTCCTTGCCCTTGAACCAGCTGACCGCATACGTGTTCTGTGCCACAGCCAGATTTTCGCCGCCCAGCCTGCGTTGGGGAGTGGCGGCAAGTGGTGGTGGATGGAAGTAGTGGAAGTGGCGGTGGCAGTGGTGGTGGCAGTGGCGGCGGCAGTGATGCGCATGCGTGAGTCCGCTTGCCAAGCACATTAAGGACATGCACGCGGTGGACACAGAAGTGAACACACACACACACACAAGTGCGCATGCACACGCAGGTACGCATCACACACAAGTGCGCATGCACACGCAGGTACGCATCACACGCATACATACAGACGCATCACACACACACACACACACACAGACGCACCCGAAGATGAAGCGGCCTGCCAGGACCAGTGGATAGCTGCCCGTTTGCGCACCGACGGCGGACACGCACTGACCGACCGTGACCAAGGCTGCAAACAGGATGGCGCCCCAGCGAAGACCGAGGACCTTGTCCATGAGGAAACCGCCTACAAAGCACAGGAAGACGTTTGGCCACGAGTACAAGCTGTACGTCAGCATGAACTGGCTCGTGTTGATGTTCAAATCCTGTCAACCGAGAAAAGGGGGGGGGGGTGTAGTTAAACGAGTGAGACTGCGTGTTCGAGGACATGGACACAAAGCAGATGGAGAAAGGGGGAAGGAAGGGGATAATAGCGGGGAGGGAGGAAGGGAGGAAGGAGGGAATGTGTGATGCACAACAATAAGGAACATGTACACCTGCACGTACGCAGAGGAGCAAAGCAGGAAGGAAGAGAGGAACGAGGAAGGGAGGAAGGAGGGAATGTGTGATGCACAACAATTAGGAACATGTACACCTGCACGTACGCAGAGGAGCAACGTTATACACCGACACGTACGCGCACAAACACCACGTAAGCACACGCACACGTCAACACACACACATACAACTGCAGGTGTTGGCAACCTCTGCGTACCTCCTTGAACTGATCTTGGAGGGCTGCAGGGTTGTCGTACACAAAGTAGTTGCCGAAGCTGAGGAAGCACGTGACAAACAGGAACATAAACCTGGTGGGGGTGTTGCCACGGAAAGAAATCAATGTGAGCGAAGGTGTTGGGGTCAAGGAAGCGCGCGCACAGGTGCACAAGGAAACACACGCGCGCGCGCAAGGAAACACAAAGGCAAACAAGCTGTCACACGCACACGCACAATACACACACACACAAAACCGCACAACACACAACACCGCACACACACACACACATATAACACAACAAAGCACAACACAAGGTCCGCTCACCGATGGGACCAGTGGAACGGGTTGCAGAGGTTGCAGCCCTTGTAGTTGCTCTCGTCATCGTCCCGGGTGCTCTTCAGCTCCTTCTTGGCATCGTCGCTGCCGCTGTTACCGCCCATGGCCGGTGGTGATGATGGCGATGATGAGCTTTGATGCGGGATGGATGGATGGACGGATGGATGGGTGCGTGTGTGCAAAGGAAACAACCAAAACAACGAAGAAAAAGGCGGGAAATCTTTCGCCAAGAGCAAGGAGAAAAAAGAAAAAGGCCTCAGGGGATTCGAACCCTCGATCTTCGGTTGACATGGAGAAGGCAAAAGGCGAAAGCCACACCCCCTCCTGTGTGCACCGCAACCACAAGAACCAGCCAGCCGGTCCTTGTCAGACAAGCAGACTCTTCTCTTCCCCCCTTCCCCTCCCACCAAAGCAACCAACCCCACTCCCCTCTTTCCCTGTTCGTCTCTCTCGTTTTGTTCGACCATCTCCTCGATCGTCTCCTCAGCTCTTCCTGGCATCTCGCCCGCGCCACCAAGCCCTCAAGCCCTCAAGCCCTCAAGCCCGCCGTCCGCGCCACACGGATTGCCCACTGAGCGATTGACCTCCAACCCAGCCCCACAACCCCACACACCGCTCCTCAGGCTCCACACACACACACACACAAACACACAGCCATGGCTGACCAGCGACTGACGCACGGCGTGTCCGTGGCAGCTGTGCGGCGGTTCCTGGATGATCTGAAGCGCGAGTTCCCCGACACGTACACTGAGATGACCACGGAGGATGCCTGCAAGCAACTGGTTGTTGTTGACAGGCAAGTCCTGTCTGTTGAGTCATCATTGACCTCCCTTCTTCACGACACCGAAATTCACATTCACCTCTCTTGTGTTCTGGAATGTTCGCGTGATTTCCCTCCAACCTGTTGCACGTGCAGTGTTTAGCTTGTGTGGTTGCTCGATGTTACATGCTCT